TAGTTTGATAATTTGTTTTAATTCCACATAAAGGTAGTGGTGTCAACAAGGTTCTCCCTACACATTTGCCATATTCACCCTGTGGTTGAGATGATGACAGCAATCTGACAATGAAAAAAGTAATTCTACAAATAAAGGATGAAGCATATAACGTTTTAAAAGTGCGGGACAATGCATTTGCAGGAGCTAAATATGTACGTTTTTCCTCAACATGTTTTCCTTTAATGCATTGCCGTTATCAACTCATTATAACTTGAAATATATGACAATGACACAAAAAAAGAAAAAAAAAAGCTATGGATTAAATGCATCAAGCTTTCTATGTGTATTGGGTTTAAAAGTGTAGTTGTGTGAACTGTGCAGTGTGCTCAAACGGCGTTATTTGCCCGTCACAATTGGATCCATGCCATTGACAGCTCAATACAAACATCAGACTTGGCCCCTGCTCTTTATTCTTTGCACTGTTATTAGCCCTCTGCGCTGAAGTTTTGCCATAGTTCTACTTTGTAATAATGCTTCTCAATTCATGAAGAGAGAAATACAGTAGCAGCCTGTTTGGCTTAAATATGCTCATGGGAGGAACACTTTCTTAATATGTATAGTTTATTTTGTGTTTTTGAAATATATTCTTCCCAAATATGGGTAGATTGTCCTGAATAGTTTTTTTTAACCAAAAGGACCAATGCATTTCTGGTGCTCTATCCAACCTGTCCATGACTCAGGATCTTATATTGAGTACAGTAAAACGGTCTGGGGCTGCAGGTATGGATGAGTGCTGTTTATCACCACACTCAAATATTTCCTGTGGGCTGAATGCTTCTCCCCATCTGCTCTGGGATTGGAGCATAAAGAGGCCATTTTAGTCCGTCGGAAACAGTGGGTTATGAATTCAGATGTCCCCGTAAATGCCTTGTCTCTGTATGCCCCCCGTTGGCTTACTTTTTCTTCTACTACAATGGCCAAACAATGCGGCTCTTGCGCCTGCAGTCTCCCAGAGTCTAATCCGTCTGTGTGTCCCCTGCAGCCATGTCCCTGTCTGCCTGACCGCCTCGCCACGTTCACGCCCAAACATTCCCCCTTTGTCTATCTGTCTTTATGTCAGACATAATACTGTATATCTCATGTCGAACAAAGGACAGTGCCATGTGGAATAAATAACAGTGGCCATCACCCTAACTTAATGCATGCTACTGTGTAATCCATTTGAGGCAAACAGATCAAACAATGCGTGCAAAAGTTCCAATATAATAATGATAATAATGCATTGGTTTTAAATAGCGCTTTTTTGGACACTCAAAGACGCTTCACATGTGTCATTATGTGTCTTCATTCACTCCAAACACGGTGGTGATGAACTACTACTGTAGCCACAGCTGCCCTAGGGCACACTGACAGAAGCGAGGCAGCAAGTATGTGCCACCGGCCCCTCCGACCACCACCAACCACTCACACACACACACACCAGGCTCATTCTAGGCAATGGGGGTGGAGTGTCTTGCCAAAGGACACAACGGCAGTTTGGCACTTTACAGCCGCAGCCGCCCCACTGTGGCTGGTATAATCAAAGTCATTATCGTAAATGAAAGCTATATGATACAGTCTTGTCCTTTCTTTCCCCTTCTTTACCTCCCCCAACAAACACCACCTCCAGGCCTGGCACAGGATTTGTTGCTCTAAAAAAAGAGGAGAATCTATTTGCCATCTCTGAGCCCCTCGTTATCATACCAAGAAGCACGCTGACTCTCCAGAGGGGTGCCCTTAGGAAGAAGTTTAAGCATGAATCCATATTTAAATAGCTAAATATCCCTCTATTTTCTAAAGTGTGGTGGACCCTGGGAGATGGAATTGGAAGAATGCGTCATCGTAAATTTTGAACTACTTGATTTGAGGAGTAAATGCACTCAAGTGAATTTAAGTCACGCTGCTGCCGGTGGGTGCGGTTTATGGTTGTTTCAAAAGTTACCATCACAAAACACTCAAAGCTTTTGTCCAGCACTGAAAATGCTCAAATGTTTTTATCTTTTACTTTACTTTGAATCCTTTTTTAAGACAATTTTAGTGTGTGTTAACAACATGATTGTTTTTTTGTTTTTTTTTTAAGAAGAAGAATATGCCTTAGAATTACTATGAAGATCTACATAATGATAAATTATAGGGAAGCACCGACACCGGTACTGGTATCGGGTATTGGGTCGATACCATGGGCTTGTACTCAGATTAATTCCATAGGACCCGATCCGGGCAACCGAGCAAAGTTGGCTGTTATTTCGTCCTACCATTTGTATAAGTGGAATATGATATGGCTTTTATTGTTGACTGTTAAAACAATTGCTAAAATGTTTAATTGTTAAATCATCTTCTTATTGTTGAAATGAGAAATTAAACATTTTAAACTTCAGTTGTATTACTTTTTTGAATTCCGAGGCAATTCAGTATTCATATCAGAATTTTACAAATACTCAAATTAAAGTACATGTATCAATTTTGAAAAAAGTGTTATTGAAGTGGTAATAATAGATTAGAAAAGGTATTACTATGCTCAAGTCTGTGCTGTCTTCACACTAGATACCTCAAAGAACAAACATACTGGAGACATGTATCATCAAGAATGTATCAAATGTATTTTTTCCACGGTACACATAAAACTTTCTATAACATTAAGAACAAGATATGTCAAGGTCCAAACACTCATGTTTCTGTTATAAAATTTTCTGTACTTCTCGGGTGTTTGGGCGCTCTGGTTTGTTAGTTGCACTATATACATATAAAAAGAAATGTTTAATACAAGCCGATTGGTATGAGAAGCTTGGAGGAGGCAAAAAATTAGACATGTATTATTTTCTGGGCTTGCTAAATGAGACATTTATTTTTTTCTTGGCTTGCCAAAAATCTTGGTATTTTGTTCTTCCGGAGGCTAGCTTAAACCCTAATCCTTACCTTACCGAGGCTGAGTTGAGTTCCAGCCAATCCCCGGTGATTCAAGATGGCGCCCTATTTAAATGAATGGCTTGTGCATGGGACATACAGGAGGACCAAAAGATTAGCGGGATTCGCCCACATCTGCCCGGTTCTGCACAGTGGACGAGCTCCCATGATGCATCGTGCCAAATACGCGTGTGTGGCTCTCATGCACGTGCACAGAGGGGCTCAGTCGCGTTCTGACCAATAAGAGCTGCTGATCGGAGCCGAGCTAGTGCGGAGCTAACCTTGCCTGCAAGCTGAATTCTCGCGGTATTTGTGAGTTCACAAACACTCGAGAATACATCTTGCCCCGCTCCCGCCAACCCTTTTCGAGTAGAACATCTAGGTGTTCAAGCCAATCACGCGCCAGTCTGGGGGTTTAGGGCGGGATATCCGGGTTTGACAAAAGCAAGACAAACATGGCTACGCAGGAGGATGGACGCGTAGCTGAGGCTATCAAGTCAGTTTTAGCAAGATCTCCAATTTCTTTTTTGAAAGATGAACAGCGAGAGGCGCTTTGTGCATTTCTGGACGGCAAAAATGTTACCGGGATTGGTTTAAGTCAAACCTTGGTAGGCGGGCACACAGCGTCACTTCGCCCAATCAGCTTGAAGTATTCTGCTGCTTATCCCTCCTTTCCCCGAAAGGATTCTCCTGCAGAAGTCCCAGATTGATATTGTGGAGAACGCATTAGAGTTCTACACAATCATCAATCTGGCTCTTGCCAGGTTAAGCCTGGTTCACACGAGACGATTTTAAAATTGTCGGCCGATTTTACTCTGTGTGAGACCCCACACAGGGAGATAAAAAATCACGGGTCTAACCACTTTGGTCGTACAGTGTGTGGTGCGCAGCCACACGGCAAAAATCACGCAAACCACACACGAACCGATCCCCCCCCCCCCGAGTATTCACAGATCAGACGGAAATCTCAGGTCTCGCGAGATCAAGCGTGACTTCAGAGTAAACACACATGGTGGACGAAGAGGATGCATTGGCGATAGTTTATTTTTATCGGAGAAAAGACGTAATCAAAAGAAAAGGCGATGGTCCAAAAAGTGTAGACAACACAAGCATGGACTATACTTGCTACATCGTGATATGGAGGCGTTTCCTCACCGCCTCGTCTCGTCTTCTGATTGGCTACACGCCGCAGTCATGGCAACGCGCTCGCTTGTCCTCGGGGGACACCACACACGAAGAGAAATCGGGCCAAAACAATCCAACATGTTGGATATCCCCGATTTGAGATCGGGAGCACTCCCGATGTCCTTCCGAGCGACGAGTGCAGTCTTAACACACCACACACGGCAGGATAATCTGTAAGATTTTGTTACGGAAATCAGAGCGTTTCTTAAGATTGTCGTAAGGGGTAAATCGGGTCTAAATCGGCCTAAATATCCTGCCGTGTGAACCAGGCTTTAGTGTGGGGCTAGAGCGGGAGCTAGAGCAAGAGCCAAACGAGCAGAATTTGTTGCATTAAAATTTAGATTCAAAGAGAACCAAAGGCTTTAACAAGAAAAAAAAGTTCAGGATGACAAGGGACATTAAAATCCCCACAAATTCCAACCTTAGTGAAAGCTGCAGGTTCTCTGTCAGCTGTCAACGCTTTACAAAAGTAGCACTGAGAATTACTGTATATAATTTTTGATGCATCTGGCTTCACAATGTTCTTACTCCTCAACTCAAGCTGCTGTAAAGTGAGAAGTTGTTGCATTACCGTGTAGCCAGCTAAAAGGTTACAAATTGGTTAGAACTATGATGGTGATAGGTATACTACAAGCTAACAACATTATACGCTCATGTTAATGGCACTTATACCTGAACTACATTTCGCTCTTTCTGCCGGGTGCTTTGATGGTTTCAATGATTTCCGGCATGGATTTGTTTGCCAGAAAAGAGGTAGAATGGTGAAAAGAGCAGAGGCACAATATTGATCCATTCTTGGTCTCACTTGCACGAGGCCCCGTGTTTTTCCCCCTGGTTTTGCTGTCTCAGTGCTTTCTGACTTTTACGATCAGGGTGTGGGCGTAACAGGGATGGAGGGGGGATGTCTGGAGGAAAGGGGGGGTTGGGTCAGTCCATAGCATGCCACAACTGCACTGCCAGTGCCTAGGTGTCATCTTTCTGTTGTGGACGTGTGGTAAGTAGTCATTAGTAAACTGATCTTTGCAAGAGGAAATTTAATGGTCTCCCAACTGTATTTACAAGACATTCAATTTGATAAAGGGTGCGATCTTGAATGATTTATGACACGCCGGTTGTACTCTTCCCTATACTATCAAATTCAGGATTTCATCACCAGCGTACATCTTTTGATTCATCAGTTTTCCTGGCCATTCATCAGATTTTATGTAACTGGGCTGGAGAGGGAGGAGGGTTTAATAATGCGTCCTAATGCAGGCAAATGGTGACTGTCACAAGCTATATTCCCGGCGCTCTGTTTTGCTTTTCTATTTAGCCTTATTTAGCTCTTCTAAAGATCCACTGCCGGTTAAACTGCCGGGAGGGGGGGTAAAATAAAAAAATAAACTAGCATGTTGCTTTCAGTACAGTTTAACATCAAACGCAAAGTGGGAAAGAAAAAATATTAGAATATGGAAATTGGCTGTAGCACACTGGGGCAACTGATTAGCGCACCAGTTGTTGTCACCAGAAAACATTTGAGAGTGGCAGATTTAAGATCAAGAACATCTTAGTTACATTTTTTGATACAAACAACAGGACGTTGGCTTCAATATGAAATGTATACAAAGCAATCTGGCTGCACAGTCTATGGACATTGTGAATTGTGATTATTGAGTTAACATTTGTTTGTATGATTCGATTTGCGATTTATGTTATAGAGCAAGGATAATTTTCAGAGTTAACCAGTAGTATTCAAAATTAGTTTTCACTGTTGAAATCAAATGACAATTTAAATAATCACTGTGCTAAAAACTAAGTTAGATAAGACTGTCCTTTTTCATGCAAAGATAACATACCAAAACATGTATTCAAATAATTAGCTGTTTGTAAAGTAAAGGCTGTGTTCTAAATGAGTGCCCTGTTTTAGTTTTTTTACATTTTTTTCCCAAACCAACACTTCTCAAAAGGTTTACTTTTTATGTGTAGGGGAGTATGCATTCCCTACACAACTAAAAATAATAATTGTCTTTTGGGTATATCAGGTTACATGGTAGTTTATAAGCTTAACAACTTAAATGTCTGTGATATTTCTGAAGTTAAATTGAGTGGACAAACTTATTAGTGGTATACACACTGGTAGGAGTTCAATGTTCATAAAAAAGATTATTCTGTAAAAAGTTCCAACACATTTTTTTGTGTGACCTCCTCTGAGGAATAATGAAAAAGTGAGCTATTACTAGTCAAGGTAAAATAGACCAAACACTAGCGAAAACATGTTGGAAACAGCATATTGTCTCTCGAGGCAGAGGACATTTGCATGTACAATGTCCTTGTTTTGGTATAAATGTGCCATCTCCCACAGCTCTTGATAAGGACAACAAATGGCACAGATAACACAAATCTGCACTTTGAGCAAGTTTATTATCTGATATGATACTGTTTTAAATCATAAATGTCAAGATTCTTGCTTGCAAACTTCCCCAAGAATACGCTTGTACAACTGTGCATGACATTCAATACATAGTCTGTGTTTTTACCGCATTTTAAATATTTCCTAGTAATGTAAACAATGCCACTATGCTGTATTTTCTCTATTTTTCATCTCAAATGCATATTGCGCTCATCCCTCCTGTTAATTTACTCAGCCTTTCTCATCAAACCGACTTCATTCATATACCGTCCCCACCTTATATAAGCAGTGGAATAATAACACTGCAAAGGACTATTTAATATTTAAGACTGCTTAATATTTAATGCTATTTTCTGACTTTTGAAGAGTGAACTTTGAAGGGCCAGCACCACTTTTCAGACAAAGCTATCGTTTTGAGAATTTCTAGAGAGATAAAATGACATGTTTTATTTGTCTTTTTTTCAGCATCCCCATCGACGAGTGACCTTTTCTACCAACAACCCGGTCCAGGACATGCAGGATGCCTCTCAGCACAGTTACTATGACAGCGGCCTGGAGGAATCGGAGACACCCAGCAGCAAGTCCTCGTCGGGACCCCGTATCGGACCACTGACCCTGCCCGAGGACCACTATGAGAGGACCACCCCGGACGGCAGCATTGGAGAGACTGAACATCCCGAAAACGGTACAGACATGTGGAAATGTCAGTGTTTGTGTGTATGTGTTTGTGTGTATGTGTTTGTGTGTGTGTGTTTGTGTGTATGTGTTTGTGTGTATGTGTTTGTGTGTATGTGTTTGTGTGTATGTGTGTGGTTCGAGACATGGGAGGTCTTTAAAGGGGACATCACATACAAACTGGATTATCCTCAGCTTTTAACAAAATATTTGTCTTGATATTTAATTAATGATAAGTTAATTAATGATAATTAGTGTTAGGGTTAGTGTGTAAGTGTTCTTAGTTCTTTTTGACTTCCTTAGTTAAACACTACGCAAATGTGACAATGAGTTTAATCTTATTTCAATTTTTAAGTTAAGGAGGAATTTCCTTTTGAAAGAGACATTTTTGTTTGTTCCATTGTCAAATCTTTTAACAGAGTCAACATGTACTCAATTTAAGATATGGTTTGCCAAATTCAAGCAATTTTATAATTTTTTCACTTACTGCTCAAAGGAAATATTTATTGTAACTTGCTCCGCAGCGGAACTGTGCCTTTGATGTGGCCACGTTTCCCTGACGTTGCGTTTAGCGGCACTCCGTAAAGGCATTCTGTGGGAATTAATCAGAAAATGTATTTCTTTGATAACATAAAAGCTCAATCTAAAGATATGGACTAAATATTTAATTATGAGCCATGGGGGTCATAGATTTTCATTTCCAGAAGACAGAATCACATTATGTCTCCTTTAAAGGGACTCCTTTCTCATGTTTTATCAGTTTAGAACATTCAGACATTATAGGAATCCATAAACAAGTTCTAATAATCCCTAGTGGCCTTAAATTGTGTGTCAAATGTAGAAAACCTTGTTCCTTACTCCTGATTTACACAGGAGGCGTTACAGCACGTAACGTACGTGCAGCAGACTCGTAACATTTTTCCATGTTAACCAATGGAAACCATATTTACCATACTTATATTATATATATACCATACTAATATTTAACCATATTTACACTACTAGTGTTATACACGCGTATGACGGACATATGACCCGAAGCTGCGCCTAAATTAGGATGGATTTCTAATTTTGCGCGCACAAAAAAGCGTCTTCTAGTCGAAACACATGGAAACGCATAAGCGCAATCAACGCTTATGCGCTTTTAACACCTACTGTGTAAATTATCTGTTAAACTGACAATGAACTCTCCCATCAATGAAAGCGGTTCTAAAACTATTCATACTAACTACAAGCATGGAATCCAGATGGATATCTCTGTGTGTTTTTATAATCTGCAATCAGTCTGGTCCTCCGTCCCACTGTAGAACTGTCAATCCTCTTTTAGAGATGGCCATGGTCTGCTCCCCAAACGTATCTACTTGACCAGTCAAAATGGGCTAAGGGAAAAACACTGTACTTTCAACCCCATCTCAGGTTGTTGACTTTGGCTTCATTCTTTAGTTGCCTTTAAATGTTGCAATCCATTTAATTGTCTACCCACCAATGCTCCGTTATAGTAAAAGGTAGAGGTTCCAGGTTAGTATAGTGGTGGCTTGTTAAGGGGAGAAATGTGTTGGCAAAGTCTCACTTGAATTCTCACTGTGCTTAAAAATTTGTTGGACAAGACTATCCTTTTCCATGCAAAGAACACATACAACAAATATTCAAATAATTGTCTGTTTGTGAAGTGTGTTCTAAGAGTGACATCTGTTTTTTTTTTTACATTTCTATTGTTCTTTTTTCCAAACCAACCTTTCACTCCCTACTCACATAAAAATGATAATTTTAATTTTGGGTATATCATGTTACTTAATAGTTTTTAACTTAACAACTTATATTTCTGGATTTAAATTGAGTGAAACTCCAGCTATCTTCCCGACAGGTCAAAATGGAGAAAACACTGCACTTTTAACCCCCCCATAATTCATTGAATTGTCTCTCCACCTATGCTTCATTGTGGTAAAAGGTAGAGGGTCAGGGTAATTGTTAGGCTGTGGTGGCTTGTTGTGGGGAGAAACAAGTTTGTATGTGGCAACGCCTGCGAGTTTGGCTTGTGCTGTGGCCACTTCTTTGGGAAAACGTTTGCAGCCGTGCATGACCACTGACCAGGCCTGTGTGCTGTCTCGGATGGTGGCTCCACGAACTCTTATTGGTTTTTAAGCAGATCTAATTTTGTGAGAGTGTGTCTATGTGTGTGTTTGTCTATGTGTGTGTGTGTGTGCAGCATTAGGGCCAGCGTTAGCAGCCTTCCTAGTCTCCTCATCAGCAGGTCCTCCGTCAGACATCCTTAACGACTCTTTCCCTCACAAGTGTGCTAATTAAAAAGCCCAACTAATGAAGCATTTGCCCTCTAAATAAATCTGAACCATGACATCTGCGCCGACAAGGCTCGTGTTTACCCGCCGCATTGCCTCTTGCTGCGTGTTTGGACCCAAGGTAAACTCCCTGGCTCTGGCTGTGCAGTAGGAGCCATATTTCCTAGGCACAGTAATCAATCCACAGAGGTGGTCTCAGCGTAGGTCTATATAAAAGGAGCCAAAGCTGGAAGTCCCATTCGGAGAAGTGTGGATCATAATAGCAGTTTTGCCGCTATAAGCTGCCAAACCTAATCCATTACCTGTCTTGTAGAAAACTACGATAAGTGATTCACACGCTGCGTTTCCAGTGATTATAGTACTCTGAAAAACCACCACCCTTTGGATTAGACTCTTTTACACTGTGATTATTCAGCACACATCCTTAATACAGCGATTATGATGTTTCCATAAATGTCTACTTAAATGATCTGCATTACATTTAGGTGTGAGGTTATGTCTCATGTTCCTAATATCCTTTCCCATAACTGTGAATATAATACTCCAAGACACACTTGAATAATAAGTGGTTAGTAGAAATATAGTTACTGATAATCCATACTCTTGGCTAGTTTAGCTTCCTGGGCGTTCTATTTTACAAAACATCCATGAACTTGAATTGAATTGAAAGCATTGTCAATCAGTTAGTAATAGTAATTATATTCACATATATGACCATTTTAAGAGCAGTTTCTCCCTTTAAAATCTGCACAAAAAAAGCACCGGTCAATAATTTAAGGTACAAAATAATACCCTAATTCATTGCAAAGTGTAAAAATATAATGTGATTATTTGCAGTAATTGTTTTATTTTAAAAATCCATGGCCCAAATGATATTATTTTTGTATTACTATTATTAATATTCAAATGACAAACTAAACCACAACATACACAAATGTTGTTTAGAGTGCAATTTTTCTCCCAAGATTAAATCCTTACAAATGAGCTGTCCTTGCCTTTAGATGTAGTAACTGTTACCAGCAGAGTTACACTCACTTGGAGTGTTGAAAAGTGCGGGAGCAGTTCGTTAAGCTGTTGTCATATTTTACTTGGTAAATGAGGATGAGAGGTAACAGATGACACAGTACTTTTGCACCAAATGCTGGAAACAGTGTTTTAAGACATCCACAGAAGGTAGCAGCTGTGGAGTCGGTGGAGGGAAACCAGCCGCTCGGCTCTTTGAATGGGAACAGAACAGGCTTCAGTTATTTTATGAGCGTGATCCCCACCATTTCCCCCGATGAGCACTCAAATTATTAACATTATGGAGACCTATGACATAAATGGCCTTAATGCAGTATGTTATTGCCGTAATGTGTGCAGTGTTTGGTAGTTTTGTTTTTCTTTCATATCTACATAAATCTACCTTTTAATTGTGGTGGGGCCACTGCAGTGAATCCAGTTCCAAAGGTTACAACTAAAAGAAATAATTTTGAAATATGCATACATTAAACGTTTGAATGGGAAGCTGCTATTTATGTGTAATTTCTTTTTGCAGCAAACTCAATGCTGCATATTTTCAAAAGAAAAAATCCCATCTTCATAACACACACATTTTCTCTCTGAAAAGGCCAAACCATTTTGTTCTTTTGCATTCAACATTTTACATTTTGTTTTGAAATTGTAAAACTATTTTTCACCCTTTCACAGTAAGCCAGGAGGATCAGACACTTAAAACGATTCTTTGCAAAGTTGTGCCTTGCGCTTGAATGCGTCAGAAGAGAGCTCCAATTAAGATGCTGATGCCACGGTTGTTCAGGCAATTTTTTAAATAAATACATAAAAACATAGAATTTGTTTGTGCTTGTCAGTTTAGCTTGCTATAATTTGAAAACACAGGAAGCTGGGGGGGTGGGAGAGGATGAGTTTTGCTATTGCCGCAGTTCCCCGCGGCCCTTTAGAGATCTGAAATTACTAATATCCCATTTAATAGATGAGTTTAGTCTCTCCGTACATGAACAAGCATCCTGTTTATACCCAGCAGGCAACAGTTGTCGATTTTCTGTGAGCCTTCTCAACACTTTGTAATATATGCATTTTCTCTCATTTTGCCCTGTCTATTGTTGATGCCGCTTATTGTGTTCTTTCCCCATCTGCACAACACAGGTTTTTCTGTCAGACAAGGCTCTCTTTGTTGTCAGCGGCAGGAGAGCAAGATTGCAAACGAAGATGGAGCAGTTAGAGAATGAAAAAAAATGGCTCGAGATGGGGGTTGGATTACGACTGGGGCGCCACTGACGGGAAACCAATGGAGAGGCTGGCGACACGGGGACATTTTTGATGCAAAAGTGCTACGCTAGGATAGACCTAATTAAAATGTGATTCCCGCTCTCAGGAGATAACAAGAAAGACAAGTTGAAATGGAAATCGGAGTGAAAATAAGCACCAAAAAAAGGAATCCCCCCCACACTTTTCCACCTGCAAAATGACGCGCCACCCTTTATAGGAGCCTGACTGACGGGATGACAGGTTATACTTGGTGCTAAGCTTTATTCATTGCGGTAGAGATGAGTGACAGGCACAAAATGGGGAGGTGAGCGCACCATGTCACTCCATTTAAGTTGTGTGAAACGCAATATACGCAGGCCAAGTCTGTCAGCCTTTGCATCTGCAGGCCCTGGAAATATCGACACGGATATGTGTTTTTGTTATATGAGTTGAACTTTGACAGCGA